AGCGAAGTGAGCAGAACAAGGAGAACAGTTTATACAATAACTTTATAAAGAAAAACAACTTTAGGGTTCTGTTCAATCCAATGCTAAGCCATGAAGCCAGAGGATGGAAGTGAAGCTCACTACTCATCGCCTGCCAGAGAGCTGATAGTCTTAAAAAGTACAGAATGAGATATACATTTTTAGACATGTGGAAAATGGTTTTTCTGGACTCTGCATATTTATGAGGGTTTTCTTTTTTCCTTTCTTTTTAAAAACTGTTCAGTTGAAGAGGGCAATGGGAGAGAAATCACAAATGCTTGTAAAAAATAAGTATTTTTAAAAGGGGAAAAATACTGAATTAAGCTGTATCATATTCATATTCAGCTTACTGACTACCAAAACCCCCAAAAGGATCAAAATGCAATGGGCTAGAATGGTGGACTTGGATTCAAGAAGGCCTAGGTCCAAATCCCATTTTATTTAATGGTTGTTTGACCACAGATGAACCACTTAACATCTCTGAGCCTCAGTTTTTCCATCTATAAAATGGAAATAACCATACCTGTTGTAAGGTACAAATGAGATCATCTCTATGAAGTGCTTTACAGACCTTAAATGCTATCTATATAATGGCCAGATATTGTTATTTTTCAGGCAAACTGCTATTTAATCATGTTTCTCCATCTTGAAGTTGATTTCTTGAGCCCAAGTATAAGACTTTATAGTTATCCTTATTAAATTCCAGCTCTTTAGATTTGGTCCCATATTTTAGCCTGTCCACATCTTTTTAGATAAAGATGACTCTATCATTGAACATAGTAGTGATTTTTTCCAGCTTTGAGTTCTCTATAAATTTAATAAGCACATCATCTACTTCTTTATCTAAGTCATTGATTAAAATGTTGAACACCACAAGAGCAGCTAGCTGGCCCAGTGGATAGAGCACCAGCCCTGGAGTCAGGAGGACTCCAGTTCAAATCTGGCCTCAGACACTTGACACTTACTAGCTGTGTGACCCTGGGCAAGTCACTTAACCCCATTGCCTAGTCAAAAATAAAAAAAAAATGTTAAACACCATCAACTATGCTAGGCAGGGGAAAGTAAGGGGAAAAAAGAAACAAAAAAGAAACAAACTTGTATGACTTCTACATTGTACATAAGGAGATGCAACATGAATGGAGATAAATACAGTACAAGGTAATTTGAGAATGAAGAAAGCACCATAGGAATCAGGGAAGGCATCAGGGAGGGAACTGTACTTGAGAAAGAAGTTGATAAGGCTCCTAACAGACAGAGATAATAGAATGCGTAGCATGTGTCTGGTACTTTAAGGCTTCCTAGGCACTTTGCATATTTTATGTCATTTAAGACTAGGAGTACATTTTAGGCATGGCTTCTAGGAGGGAGATTGAATGCATGGTTCAAGAAGTAAATAATAGCCCACTCTGTGCATTGGTTATTATGGGTTTCTACTGCTTCTCAAGGGTCACCAGACAGCAACTAGTCACTGTTTCAGGATCTTCTTGGGTGGGTGGGGGCATACTGAACTCACCATGGGTAGCAATTGTCACTGTGGGTCCTTCTTCCCCCTTCTCAGTATATAAGAACCCTGAGCTGACAATCACTCTGGCCCATGGTTTTGCCAGACTGGTAGGTAATTGAGGTCTTGGGTATGTCTGATGTACAGGATACCATAAGAAGGAAGGAGGAAGGGAGGGAGGGAGGAAGGGAAGAAGGAAAGAGGAAAGGAGGAAGAGAGAGAGAAAGAAAGGAAGG